TACTTTGAAAAGAAAGCTCTCAGTGTTGGTTAATGGATGGAATATGTATATTCTTACTTCTTTTCCTATTTCCGGGGAACAAATTACCCAGTTTGTTCATGGTATTCTCGTCCATTATGAGGCTGGAGATTCCAAAAATCTTCCCATTAGTGCTAAGAAAAGGTGAAAAGACCAATGCTTCTGATTCAAATTGCAAACATAACTTACTTACTAACCTGGTTTTAGGAACTAGGTTTCAAGATCATAGTTCACCAGGTTTCTTTTCTACCTGATAAAATAAAATAACCCAGCCTCACTAAACTAATTGAACTCCCCTTGTAGATTCTCAATTCAGGAATTACTAAGGAAATCTTTGTAACAAAAGAAAGCCAGAAAAAGAATCAGTTTGTTTTCAAACCTTATATGTTAGATGGGCAGTATTTGTTTGCTTATTTGTTTATTCAGTATATCTTTTTTGGAAGTAAATGGGACAGGCTCATTTGTGAGAAGCCAAATTTATACCATTCTACAAATGAGTGTACTAAGCTACAAGGATCCAGCATATATAAATCAACATTGAATTAATTATAAGTCATTTCTTTAATGTTTCATTTTCTGAGAACTAGCATAAGCCTGATGAACCTCCAAAAGGAGAGCTTCCCACAGACTGAACCCAGGACCTAACCAATGAGCAAAGCTGAAGTTTATGCAATGGTGAATATTATTCCTCTGCATCCTACCAATGCTTTTTCTGTGAAATCATGACATAGTCAAATAAGTTGCATTCATTAAAAGGAGAGAAAATACTAAGATTTTTGAGAAAGGAAAGCAAAATTATAGGGAAAAAGAGTAGCTGAATTGGGAATCAGGCCACAGTATTTTAATTGTTGTTAACAACTAGCTTTGAGAGATTGGGCAAGGCCCACCTTCAAAAGCAGGTCTTAGAGTACGTGGAAGTGTCGATCTTGAACACATTATTCCTACCAAAATGAATTCCTTAAATGATACAGAATAATTAGCAGATACATTAAGACAAAAATTCAGTGTTGGAGTTTCATGTTCTAGAAAATTAAATCAAATTTTTAAATTTAACCAAACAAAAGTTGTAATGATTCATATAACACTGATTTTTATATTTTGTATTAAACATTACAACTTGTTTGTTTTGTTTTTAAAAATTACTTCTTCATCACTTAAAGATCTTAGCATTCTGAGATAGATACCCCTAAAGACAGTCGGTACAAAGCCTCAATAACTTTGCTGTCAGACAACCCATGACTAGGCTGGTTCACTCTGAAAAAAATCTTTAGAGGACTTTCTTCAGTTCAGGTGCCCTTAAGAGGGAAAGGCCCAGAGAGGGAGGTCGAGGGGGGGGGTCTCCTACAGTGATAGGAATTTCTATGACCCTGGTCTTCCTTTGAATGTCTGATATACCATGCATTTTGTTGCTCTCTTCAAAATCATCAGTGTGTTTAAAATCTCGTGGATCTTTATTGAGATACTTCTTAATATTATCATCCAGATATCAAGATTCATTCTCATTAAATGCCAAAAACAAAAGAGGAAACTCACAGTCAACATCACTTCTTTTTCCCTTTTCATTCAATACTCCTTCTCGACATGTAAACAGAGGACCCATCAAACCACTATATGTATCCTGGAATTAAAAAATAGATAAACCATTCAATATTTAATAATATTCCATTCCATCTGCTACCATTCTAGAAATATTAATATATTAAATATTAGAATCTAGAAATATTTAATAATATTCCGTTCCATCTGCCATCATTCTAGTATTAGAATCTAGAAATTTTCCTCTCTGGTCTCTAGCCCACACCACCTTCAGCTCATCCTACTACCACTATCAGATTAATCTAGTTGCTCCCATAATTAGAAGTCCTCAGGGACTTCCATGGCCTACAGAATAAAATATAATCCTTCAAGCCCCTCCATGTGCTTCCTCAATGAAATTTCTCTCTTGGGTTGCCCCGCTGCTTTCTTTTTGGGTCATATATGATAGTCAAATGGGACTCTCAATACTTCTCAAACACAGCTTCAGCTTTTGTACTTTGTTTTACTAATAGCATTTTTTTTCTCCCTAGACTCTGTCCAAAGCCTCCCATGGTACCATCCATAATCTACCACTCCTACAGAAGTGTGGATATGTTTTATTTTCCCCACAAAGTCATGTGCTTCTTCCAAAGAAGAATATTTGCATCTGGTATAGTGTTTGGTAGCATAATTTGCATGTCACAAGTACTCAATAAATATTTGTCTGGATGTACAAATGAATAAACAATAAGTATGTGTCCCATAATTCTAATCTGTAAATTTATTTTTCAAGTAACTTATATGACTATCTCCTAAGCTCCAGTACTGTGCAGTGTAACTCAAGGTCACTAATTCAAACCATGTAATATCAAAGAGGAAGATTAATATAGTCCCTCACTTGTTAAATAATGGGAAGTGCCTATGTTTTATATCAGGTATGATTTTAGTTAGGATTTTGGTTTCTGACATAGCATTAAAGACTTGTAGTTGCTTTATATATACATACCTGACTCATTTATCAGCCTATTAATCATTCAAATATTTTTGAAGTTCCAGTTACTATGGCTGGAGTATGTTTTCTTTCCCTGATCCCTAGTAGCCCTGGTAACACCTTTAAAAATAATAGATTTCCCACACCTAAAACCATAAACAAATTACATTGTAAAATACTTTTTTTCTATTGACATATCCTCTTTTGCTTCAAACTGCCTCATAAGATCCATTCTTGGAAATTGAATGGAGCTTTTTATTAATTTCCCATACTTTAAATCAATGTTTAGCAAACTTTAAAATCTGTTTATAAGGCACTATATGGCAAATATTTTTTACTTCATGAGCTATACTATCTCTGTCACAACTACAGACAACATTAATGAATGAGCATGGTTGGATTTGGGAAGTGGGCTACAGTTTGTGACCACTTCTCTAAATCATATACTCTTCTAAAATGCCCTCCAGAGGTATGATGATTTGGATGGCCAACATAAGCCATGTTACACTGAACATCTTGGTAATCTATCCGCCTTACCTTCACAAAGTTTACTGTTGAATAGTAAACCCATGGAATACAATTAGGATCAGAGGGCCCTGGACCTGATCTTTTAGGGACATTCCATCTGTAAGTTTTTATTTCTCCTAAAATCAAAGAAGAAATAGAATGAGCTTGTGAGAGTTACCTCTGTTGCAGATGATTTACCTGAAGAAATACAAGCAGGTCTTTATATATTTTAGTCAATGTTTTACTACTGCTAATTATCATTAGAAATGATTATTAAACTCTTGTCTTGATTTGTACAATTTCATCATGAAAGAGTATATGTACCATTTCAGACTCTGGCCTTCTCTATAGTTTGCCCTTTTCTATTGTTAACTATTATGTATTCAGGAAATCACAATTTATTTTATAGGTCACTGTTTTTCCTCAATTTTTGTATCTTCTCCTGAGAGCTATCCTCAGACTTTAGTTATCAGGGTCTTAGTCTGGGCCTCTTAAAGAAATCACCAGGGAGCTTTATAACCTCTCTCTGCTCAGACCTCACTCAAGGTAAAGGAATCAGAATATTTTCAGTCTCAGATTCAGGCACCAGTATGTTTCAATAGTTTAGGGGTATGAGGGGGCAGGTGAGATCCAGTTAGAACCAGAGAGACCTACTTCCAAATGTCAACCCTAGAGGTATTTCTATTTAGACAACATTTGAGAAGCTACTTAACCTCACTGATATTTAGTTTCCTTACCTGTAAACTTGGTTAGTCACCTTAGTTCTCAGATTTTTGTGAGGATTAAATAAAATAATGATATAATGATGAACTGGGAGTGTGGATTAAGTGGTGGAGTGCCTGCCTAGCAAGTTCACGGTCCTGAAATCAATCCCCAGTACCATAAAATATATATATATGAAATACATGGGATAGTGCCCACGAAGGCACTCCCATTGAAGGGAGTTAATAAATGTTGACTTTTATGTCTATTAATAACAAATGTATGTATGACCATGCATAGATAATGGGAGGACCATTATCTATTCATTCCTGTGGCTGACCCAGGACTTTGCACAAAGGAGATACCAATATAGCTAGATTTACTAGACAATAATTGCATTGCAAAAATTCCAAATAAAAACTACATTTAAATAATTATCTCCTTTGAACTATCCCACCCAACCAGAATAAATATGTGTGCCACATAAGTAATGCTTATATGCGACTTTGCTCCATTTTTGTCAATGTATCAGTGGGTAGTAATACACTTTAGGTCTGGTTTCCATTATGTTTCATTAAAACACTCTTGCCTTTTTAATGGCAAGCTGATATTAAGCTTCTTAAATACACGTGACTTCAGGAGTGGTGCTACTAAAGTTGGAATAATTCATTACTTGCCCAGCAGTCAGCACCGTAATGAATGTAAAGAAGGTGTTCAGTAAATGTTTACTGAATAGTTTAACAAGAATAAGGAGAAACTCAATAGGAGTTGCTTTTATGATGCATGTATTCTTTCCTTTTTTTTTTTGTACATGTAGTTCTTCTATAACTTGCTTGGATTTCATGAAAAAAGTTAGTTCTTTCCTTCCCCCTCCAATCTCTGGGCTCTCCCAAACCTTTCAGCCTTGTCAGAGAACTTTGTAAGAAATCTCTCTCTCTGAGTTTGAATAGCAAAAAAATGCTCCTTTTCACATTCTAGTCCATCCTCCTCCCTACTCCCATGACCCCTTACCTCAAGAACTTTTGGAAGGCCAGGCAACAGAGTTGCTGTATCTTGCTAGTCCTCACCATCAGGGCACAGTAGCCTGTCAGGGGGTCACCCCAGCTTGCCCACAGCCTTATTCTGAGAGCCTCCACCAATACCTAATGGGTACCTTTCTTTTCTGAGTTGTTTTTTGACCACTAAAAATCAGTAACTTTTGCCAGGCACTGGTGGCTCATGTCTGTAATCCTAGCTACTTAGAAGGCTGAGATCAGGAGAATGTGGTTCAAGGCCAACCTGGGCAAATAGTTATTGAGATCCCATCCCCAAAATAACCAGAGCAAAATGGACTGGAGGCATGGCTTAAGAAGTAGAATGCCTGCTTTGTAAGTGTGAAGCCCTGAATTCAATCCTCAATCCCACCAAAAAAAGCAATTAGTAACTTTATTTAATGGCTTACTAGTGAGAAACTTGAAGGTTTCCCACTAAGATCTGGAAAGGAACACAGCAAAGATCTCCTCTCACTAATGCTTTTCAACTTCTTACCAGAAGTCCTACCTAATGCAAAAGACAAGAAAATAAAATAAAAGGTACACATAATTGGGAAGGAAGAAATCAAACTGTCTTTGTTTACAAATAACATGATCATCAGTGTAGAAAATCTAAAGTAACTGGCCACAGTCCTTCCTGGTAGTAATAAATAATTATATTAAAATGATAGGATACAAGATTAGTATCTCAACGTCAATAATTTTCTTATGTATTAGCAATGAGCAAACAGAATTTAAAATTAAAAACACAGTGCCACTTTACAGGTAAATGGATGGAACTGGGGAATATCATGTTAAGTGAAGTAAGCCAGGCTAAAAAAGTCAAAGGTCACATGTTTTCCCTCATATTTGGAAGCTAGTCTCATAAGTTAAATGCATATATGTATGATCATATATATATGTACATATGTAGTTAGAGAGAGAACAAATTTATATTTGTGGGTCTATCTGAGAGGATTACAGGAGGCAGGAGAGGGAAAGAAAATGTTAGAGAATGAAAAATATTGAAACAACCCTTCTGTATATGAATATAATATAACATAATGCGCTGTAAGCTGTTGACTATTAGGGGAGCATGGCGATAGAGAAAGAGTGAGCATAATGGGGGGGTGTTAATTTTATTAAAGCATGATATATAGATGCTTGAAATGCTAAGGTGAAACCCCCTTGAATTATCAATATATACTTTTTGTTAAAAATGAAGGACCTGGGGTAAAATAGGTCTTTTCCAGGAGTGGGTACCAGTAGGAGGGGATGGGCATAAAGAAAGGGTGAATGAGGGAGAATATGGTAGACTATTTTATATTTTGTATGAAAATAGAACGATGAAGCTGTTGGAATTGTTCTAAGAATGAAGGGAGGAGGGAGAATGATAGAGGGGGTAAATCTAACTAAGGTATATTATAAGCACATATGTAAATATCACAATGTATCCCCCTGTCCAACTATTATATACCAATTAAAAATTCTTTCAAAAAATATAGAGTACTACCTGTCAAAAAAACCCCGCACTGACACTTGTATTAACATCCCCTAAAATAAAATATATAGTTCCCCATGTAAAAAGAAGTACAAGATCTGTGAGGAAAACTACAAAACTGTGAAGAAAGATATCAAAGAATGGAATTATGTTCTGTGTTCATGGATAGGAAGGTTCAAAATTTCAAGATATTTGTGCTTCTCAGGTTGACCTTAAATCCAAAATGATCTCAATCAAAATACCAGCAAGTTATTTTGTGGATACCAATACACTGACTCGAAAGTTTATGTAAAAAGACAAAAGACCTATTTAATATTCAAGAATAACAAGGTAGGAAGACTGTACTAATGACCTTCTGGACATACTATTGTAAAGATGGCGGGGAGAAGTTGGTCAGTGGGTACAGCATTACAATTACATAGGAGTAGCAAGTCCAGGCATTCTACTGTACAACTAGAACACTAAGTTAACAAAAAAGCATTGTATATTTTAAAATAGTTAGAAGACAAGTTTTGGATATTTTCAGCATAAATAAATAATAAATGTTCAAGCTGGTAAATATGCTGGTTTAATCATTAAAAATGTTCCCGGTATTGAAACATCACATCATACCCTGTAAGTACATGCAATTATTGCACCAATCAAAACAAAAAAGAAAAAAAAAAGACTAACTGCAAAGCTATAACAATCAAGACTGTGGTGTTGACAAAAGTAAAAGACAAATATATCAAAGAAAAGAACAGATATCCCAGAAATGGAGCCCCATAAATATAATCAGCTGATCTTGCCAAAGTAGCAAAGGCAATCCATGGAGAAAAGATAGTCTTGTTAACATATGGTACTGAAACAACTGGACATCCACATGTATGAAAAAAATCTAGAAAAGAACCTGTATCCTTTAAGAAATTAACTGAAAATAGAAATAGACCTAAATGAAAATGCAAAACTCTAAAAACTCCTAGAAGAAAACACTTAAATGGCCTGTTTATGGTAATGACTGTTTAGATACAACAGAAAAGATACAATCCATGAAATAAACAATTAATAAGCAAAAGTTATTAAAATTAAAGACTTCTAACTCTGTGCTTCTACACTGCCAAGATAATGAGAAGACAAAACTGGGAGAAAATATTGTGAAATACACCTCTGATCTGTAATCCAAAACATACAAAAACTATCAAAACTCAACAATTAAAAAAACCTGATTAAAATATATGCAAAACCTAAAAACTTCACCAAAGAAGCTATACAAATAGAAAGTAACTATGTAAACAGGTGCTCAACATCATCTGTCTTTTAGAGAATTTCAAATTAGAACAATGATGTGATAGCATACCTACCTATCAGAATGGCCAAAATCTAAAACAACAAATTCTGACAATGAAGTGGAGCAACAGGGACTCTCATCACAACTGAGAACACAAAATGGTACAGACGCTTTGGAAGACAGTTTGGCAGTTTCTTAAAAAAACAAAAACAAAAACAGAACTACACACGTTTGCCATTAATTGTGCTCCTCAGTATTTACCCAAAGGAGATTAAAATTTATGTCCATAGTAAAAACCTAGGCATGGATGTTTATAGCAGCTGTATTCATAATTGCCCAAACTTGGAAGTAACCAAGATGCCCTTTGAAAATGAGTGGGTAAACTGTGGTACAACCACACAATGGAATATTATTCAATGCTTAGAAAAAATGACCTATCAAGTCATGAAATGATATGTAGGAAACCCAATACATACAGCTGAGTGACAGGAGCCGATCTGAAAAGGCTACACACTGGATGGTTCCACCTATATGACATTCTTGAAAAAGCAAAACTATAGAGCCAGTAAAAAAGATCATGGTTCCCAGGATTAAGGAAGAAGATGGGACGAATAGGCAGAACAGAGAATTCTTAGAGCAGTGAAACTATTCTGTGAGGTACTACTATGGTAGACACGTATCACTGAGTGTTTGTCAAAACCTACATTGTTTACACACCAAGAGGGAAACCTAATGCAAATTATGGACTTTGGATGACAATGGTGTGTCAAGGCAGGCTCATCAATGGCAGCAAATGTACCACTCTGTGGGGAATTGAATTGGAATGGAAGATGCTGTCCATGTGTGGGACAAGAGGTATATGGAAATCTCAGCTTAGCTATGAGCATTAAACTACCCTACAAAATAAAGTTTATTAATTTAAAAAATACACAAGTCTGACCTTATTCATAAAGCTTTCCCTAATTATTCCTTTCCCTATTTTCTCCTAATTAATCATTCCTCATGGATTTTCCTTCTCTGAATAAACAGTTCCATGGTAATTCCTAAAATTCTTCACCACTTAGGACTTTATGATGTATAATTACCATTACTCTGAAATTATTCAATCTTGTCTTTTTTTTCCCACAGAACTCATCTTAATCACTTAGGAGAAATATATTAAGAACATGCTGGAGTGAATATGCTGTATTACTAACATAAGAACTAGCCAAATTCTTTACCACTCTGTGATTTAGTCATTTGTTAAATGGACATAACAATTCCATATTTCATCAATTTAAAAAGGCAAAATTTTCATATTTTAATGACCCTGGGAAGTCTCTAATGGAACCTTGGAAATTTCCTAAATTCTTGGTCATTGGATGAATGATGATCTCCTACCAGATCAGCCAGGTGATGGCTGAAACAGAAAAGAAAAGACTCCGGTGTCCTCATTAGGAGGGAGCAGACCTCTGGCATAACTGACCTGGCTTTGTAACAGGAACTTGGAGTCGCTTCCCGCTATCCATGTCCTCCACACCCTGGGCTGAGATGGAATACGGCCGGCTGGCTTTATTCTTAAATAGGATCAGGATGGAGTCACCCACCTCAGCATGAATCATTGGGCCTAAAGACAAAGCCCAGACCTGTGTGCATTATTGTTCTTTCCAACATCAATGTAATTTAAATGTAGGTAGCATTTAGCAGAATAAAATAAAGGTTAGCTTCTGTGTTAGTGAACTTCCTTAGAGGACAATATTGTGTAGTATTAAATATCATATGATGTTTAGCAATGGCACCAACCTGGGTTCAAATTTTGTGTCCTTCACTTATCTGAAGGCCTTGGGTGAATCATATAATCTGAATCTCAATTTTCTTCATCTATAAAACAGTTTAATGATACCTTTCTCATAGAGTATTGATAAGGACTAAATAAAATAATGTAGGTAGAGTGCTTATTTCAGTGCTTTGAAACACGGTACTTGATAAATGCTTCACTTTTTATTACTGTTGAGCAATAATCTCTAACAAAAGCCATGTCTACATGATACAGTGAGTTTTGCCTGTTATCTCCCTGTTTGTAATCTTTGGTAAATCTGAAAATGTTTATTATCTGGCAAATGGAGATAATAATAAGAAGAATCCCATGAAATAATGTGTGTTTCTGAGATATGAAAGATACAAGTGAATAAAAAGTACTTATATTCTGATTTTTGATCAGCACAGTGACTTCACTAATGCATGCCTAATGCTGTCTTTTGATACATGGATACCTTGAGGAGATGTGCTCTTTATGCACTTTTCTGTTGGAAACAAACAGTCTGCATGCCCACGAAGATAAGCCACATGCTCAGGAAAGAGCCTGCACTGCATGACTGTGTGGTGCACCTCCCTACTCCAGGTGCCTCGTGCCTCGTGATGCTCAGAACACACACCCCATATGAGAGAGTAGGGGACTCATAATCATCTTCACGAGGCACAGCTTCATAGTGCCTAGACTCCCATTTTAGAAGCACCTCAGACCTGATATCTATGACTCCCTCTTGGACATTTGGTGCATTCTGTATTCGTAGAGAGATTCGCTCATGGTTGGTTGAACCTTACTGGTTCAAGCCATGGTTTTGGTTGCTTTTTTTGAGAAATGCTGCTAAAGGCATCAATAAATCTAAAATCTGTTGGAGTGTTACTATCTTTAGAAGAAAACATTTAGCATGAATCAGGAAGTTTCTGAAAGTACTCTTTTTTTTTTTAATGACAAAGCTAAAAAAAGAAAACCCTGTCTTTAAACAGTACTTGTGGCATAGTTACAGATAAGTGAATGAATTTGCATGTATTAAAATCATTGTTTGTATACTCATTGCCACTTAAATTGCACATATCTGCTGTACTGTCAAGTAAGAGCAAATATCTTTCAAATTACATTGCAGTAGGACACAGGGAACAGTGGTAAGCAGAGGTGTGCCTGCTATGTGCTCTTTAAGTAATTTAAGGAGCCTAGGTCTCTCCTAAGCTGCAGAAAATGAGTAAATGGGCCTCACTCTCCCATAGCTGAATGCTGATGAACTTGGCTCTGATGAAGTCACTTAACTTTTCCTCTCCACTGAGTAGAACCAAACCACGGAGTACACCTAATCCCTCAGCAGGACCAGTACCTTTTCTTCAGAGCTCTGTCGACAAACAAGGCTCATATGCATGACTCATTCAGTCTGACAAACAAGTTCACATACTAAATGTTAATAGACCATGGGTGGAGCATTCAATACCTTATCAAGCTGGGAGTCATGGCGCCTCATTTTAAATACTGACAAGCACTGTGCAAGCCATAGTGTTTCTATAACTTACCATGTGCATTTAAAAGCAGAAAAGCATTTCCAAATTTCTCTAGATTGTCCCCCTGCCTTAAAATCTTATCTAGAAGATGGGTTGGGTCTGGTGATTCCCAAGTAAGGAAAAGTTGGGAAGGAAAGCAGGAACAGCTTATCTAATGGTCAGGTGGCTGGGGCATCAGATAGCTCAGAGATTGCAGACAGGTCCAGTCAGTTCTGAGAAGAACTGAAACCGACCTTTCACCCTTGGCACCATTTCATATCAGGGGTTCTTCCTTCATCATACTCACTTTTATGGCATATGGAAAATACAGCAGTGTGCATGGGTAATCCAGGACCTTGAAGAGGTCATCCAAACACTCTGCCTGATGTTCTGAGACATAAGATTGTTTCATATTAAAGTATCCTGCTCAGCAAAGGGATGGAAGAGAAGCTCAAGGGTGTCAAACACCAGGAAGACCACCCTGGTGATAGGGATTTCTGCTCATACGCTACCTGATATTTTATTAGAACTATTCTTTGTGTGAACTGAGTACACATTACACTCCCTGATGATGGCAGAGCAGGAAGATATTACACTCAGATGACTGCAGTCATGCTACCCTGTTCCTTCTGTCCCTCTCAGTCTTACATGACATTGTATGTGTGCATGTGTGTACACATGCTTAAGGCTGATGGTGCATGACTGAAATCTGCCATACCCAGGAGTTCTAAGTGTTCCTCTTGAGGTGGTCGGGCTTTGATCTCCACAAATTCTCCGTTGGTGTATTCCCACCTTCTTGTACTGACAGCCAATCCAGTTTTCAGTGTGATTCATAAATATATCTCCATGTCTGAAAATCAGAAACATCAGAAGTTAAGGTTGTCAGAAGACAGAAAAACCATGAGTATTTTTGAGTGATTTGGGGAGCCCGAGCTGTGATCAGGGCCTCCCTGGGAAGTTGGCCTTTTGTACCTCTCTCTGGGAATGAGGCTAAGAATTAGCATTTTAAAGCTCTTCAGGTTTGGACAGAGGAAGCCCAGCACTGGGCCACCACCCACCCTTGAAGATGAGCTCTGTCAGGACTGCTGCTGGATGGCCAACCTCAGAGGGTTGTGCTTCTCTTGGTAATAATAACCCCACGTGCATACATGCATGTACACACTTCACCACTCTGAACTCCTCCAGGTTTCACATGTATCATTTTAAAACTTTTTGTGCTTTTCTCCTTTGAAAGGTCTCAAGAAAGTCTGCAGGTTGGGTATTGTGCATACACCCACACACAAATATAGATGCTGTTGATTCTTGTTATTCACACTTGTCTAATTCTGGAAAGTCACCATGAATACTGAATTATGAACTTGTTTTATGAATGTTCCTGCTTAAAGGCATTGTATTTAATATATGTTGGTGATGCATTAACATTGAACTCTAATTTATACCTGAGTCAAGTCTCTTTGGCACACGTATTTTCTCTGCAAAGTACATCACCACCCTCCTCTGCGAGCAAACACCAGATAGTGCTTCAGCACTACTCTTAGTGGGGGCATTTTAAACAAGAAAAGTACCAAAATAAAGCACACACATGCAAAAACTATGGCACTGAATAGACCCAAAAGAGGATACTTGTTTATACAGTAAGAGAGCTGAAATAAGAAAGCAGATGCTTTGACCTCAGCTTTAGGTTTTCACAGCTCTTCAAATATCTTCTACCAAAGTGTCATGAGAATTGATTTGGGTGTTAGAAATAAACTTTAACAAGTAGGCAAATTCACAAATGTGGAATCCACGAAGACTGAGATAAATAGTTATATACACACACACACATTTAATCTATCACCAAGGTAATTAATAGATTAGAAAAATCTAAAAAATCTGGGAGTGGTGTCACACACCTGTAATCCCAGCTACTTGGGAGTGAGCTGCTGTCTCCAAGATAAAAGAAAAAACTATCCATTTTTATCTCCAAGATATAGTGAGTTTCATATCCCCTTTTCCTCCCAATTAACTGCCTGCATTCTAACTTGTACTACCCAGAATTGTTCCTCATGGCTCTCCCTGTCTTCCCTCTGTTCCCCATACTGCAAACCAAGTTGCTCTTTGTACAAAACCTTTTTACAGCTTGGAAAACTAAACAGGAAAATTCATCAGTTAGGGTCTCAAGCCCCTTCACTAATTGCCTTTGCCACCTCCTTAGCCCCATTTCCCATCACGGACCCCTCATATCCTATGATCTGATCATTCTAAATGTTCACTCTCTTGAACGTAATGTTCTCTCCCTCCTCTTCAGGCCCTTTACATGTTGGTCCCTCTGGTAAGAAATCCTTTGTCCTTTTTCTACTGGCTCACTCTTCACATCCCAGCTCAAAGACTACTTCCTCCAGAAAGCTTTCCCCGATTACCTACCCTCTCCCCTCCTTTCCCAATGACCAGGCTGTGCGCTTCTCTTGTGAGTTCTCCCTGCACCCTGCACTTCTGCTCTGTTAGAGACTGCCTCTCTCCATGTTTGTTTTAGCATGTTCCTCATGGACCATGAATTCCGCGTGGTAAATGACCTCGTCTGCCCTTCTCCACCCTGCTTCACCAGCACTCTTCTTCACCTAGTGCATAGTAGCTGCATATATACCTTCTTGCCTAGACTGTGTGCTTTCCAAAGGATAACTTTTCTTCTACTTTTATTTCCCAAGCATCCTAGTAATGGTTGTGGTATGACCAGCAGACTCCAGAGCCACAATCTACTGCTTTGCAGCTTTCCTCCTCTGCAAAATGGGGTGAAAATAATGCACCTCCCTCCCAGAATTGATGTGAGGACTATATGAGTTCATACCCATGAAGCACTATGTCAGGAACATGTTAAGATCTATGTAAGCACTTTATCATCATCTCGTGAGGATGCTGGGTGGATGCTGGGCATAAGCTGTGAATCTTCAACCGTGTTGTGAGGATCAAATCACATTTGGTTTGTAAAAACCTTAAGAAATGCCTGGTACGTGATTGGTACTCAATAGATATCATTACGGTGAATTGTAGGGTGGCTAAATTATGCACATATCAATCATAAGCTCAGGAATGCAAGGAATAGAATTGTATTTTTCTACAGCAACTTAATATCTGTTTGCAAATTTGCTTTCATGGTACAAAACTGCCCCCTGGAATTGTGGTTATGGCCCCATTTGTTGTCTTTCTGGAACTCTGAGGCCTTCCCAGCATGTTCTTAAGAAACCCCCCAAAAAGACTTCCAGGTCCCAAAGTGCGGCAGGGAGGGCCTATGCTGATCAGGACAATTAATGTCTCAGAGAAAGGCTGTACCAAGAGGTGGTTCAAAAATCATGGCCTTGGGTCAAAAACCAGAGGCACAGAAGATGGGGCTCAGAGGGGATTTGTCCATGGGCTCTATCGGTAGGGGTATTTCAGATGTGCCACTGGAGAAAGTGTCATTTCAATTCTTACTGAATTTTTATCTATAAAATTTAGCATACTTTGAACATGTGAATGTGTCCTTATCTCACTTGGCTTTTATTTATTTATGGGCAATAACCAGAGTAGCAGGAAAAAGGCATTTTACCTCCTCCTTACCAATACCTTCTATTTTTCAGTTGGGAGACAGTTCTGGCACCTAAAGCTTCCTGCTAGTCCAGAGGGATGGGGCTTCACCCAGAAGTAAAAATGAGTCACAATTAAGTGATGAGGGCTATATTTCTTACACACTTGTGGGCTAAGATTGTACACACAAGAAAATGATTCTATGATTGTTTCTTCGGTGATGGCAGCTGCTAATGAAATAATTATTTTAGAAAAAAGCCAAATTAGTACTCATTTCACTTCCCACTCCACCAGTATCACTATTTAGCTTGTACTGGCAGCAGAGTTTTCCAGAAGAAGGGTATCTAAAGTAACATATGGGTTAGTGAGTAATTGCATGGATTTTAAAGCCTCCTGTCCTGTAGGCAAATCTTCAACATAGTTATTTTGGTCTTTTGTGGGTTTTGTTCATTTTTGTGGTTTTGTTGTCATCGATGTTGTTGTTTTGTTGCTTTTTTCATTTACCATAAGGTGGCACTGTTACGCTCTCTCTTCCAGGAGTAAAGAACCACAAAACAAAGCCCAACAAGTAAGAACAGAAACAAATGTGTTAAGTTTAGAGAAAGCTGCACATAGAGTTGTTTGTGTGCATCAGGCCATAGAGGATTTAGTGAGGAGGAATAGGAGAGTATGGAGGGGAGGAGGAAGAGGCCTGGGTAGGTGATAATGAAGAACAAACAGGAACTGGAGCACAAGAGACACAGATTTGCCCTTTGAAAGATCTATGCTTACTTCCAACTCTGCCAGAGACTAGGTGAGTGATTTAACTCAACACCCAGGTTTTCTCATTTGCATATAGGGACAGTTATACCCAAGCCTGGGACTGTTGTGGAGGGTATTAACTTTTAGAGAAGAGGTCTGCAATCTGCGCCTGACTTCCTCCTTGTTTGGGTCTATCCCAGGGATCCCTGAGAAGACTGGTCACTGGACTCGAGGATGCAGGCAGCAAAGGACCAACACTCACAAGCCTGCATGTGGCCTAAGCATTGCTCTGTCTTTGGCATGTAGTACTGGCTGCCATCACTTTTTTTTTCATTTATTCTTATGTGCATACAATTTTTGGGTCATTTGGGAGAAATGCCATCACTTTGAAAGGAGGTCAGAAAGGTTAGATCAGGAAGAATTAACCTAGAAAGTAACACACATGCACAGGAAATTAATGTGAGTCAACTCCCTGTATAGGTATCCTTATCTCAACTAGCAAAAACCCTTGTTCCTTCCTATTATTGTTTCTACTCTCTCTTCAACAAAATTAGAGATAAGGGCAAAATAGTTTCTGCTGGGTATTGAGGGGTTGGGGAGGAGATGGAGGGGATGGAGTGGGTGGTAAGGGAGGGGGTTGGGGCAGGGGGTGAAATGACCCAAGCATTGTATGCACATATGAATAATAAAACAATAAAAATTAAAAATAAATAAATAAAATAAAATTTGGAGTTATGACATTTAAAAGTGCAATAAATGAAATAAAATACTAAGGAGCTTTACAACAGAGTCAAATGGCAAAATAATCAGTAAACTAGAATATAGATCGATAGAAATTATCCTACCTAAATAGACAGAAAAACTTGAAGGAACTGTGGGACAACATATGTCTTAAAACATGTGTAACAACTGTCCACAGGAAGAGAGGAGACCAAAAAGGGAATGAAAAAATATGTGAAGAAATAATGGCCAAAATTTGATGGACAACATTAATGTACACATGAAGGAAGCCTAGCGAACTACAATTTAATAAATACAAAGATATCCACAAATAGATTTAGCTTTGGCAAACTTTAAAAAGAAGAGATAATACTGAAATCTGAAACAGTAAAACAAACAAACAAAAAATTCATCACATACAAGAAACCATCAACATGATTAATGGTTGACGTGCCATTGGAACATTGGAGACCCAAAGACAATGGGATGATATACTCAGCGTGTTGGAGGAGAAATGTCAGCCATGAACACTATATCCAGAAAATTATCCTTCAAAAATAAAAGCAAGATAAAGACATTCTAAGTAAATAAAATTAGCAAGTGTTTTGCTGGCCACCTTTCCTTTCAAAGAATATTAAAGTCCTCCAGAATAAAAGGAAATGATACCAGAAAGTAAGTTGGATCCACAGGAAGAAATGAAAAGTACTAGAAATGGTAAATACAAGAGTTAATATAAAATGTTCTATAAACACATTTTTCCTTACTTCTCTTAACTTCTTTAAAAGTCGTAAGAAAGTATAAAGCACTAAGTATAACACTGTCTATCTCACAAAGGAGTACCTTAAAAGCAACTGAGGCCAATAGGAGAAGGGGACCAGGAACTAGAGAAAAGGTCAGATCAAAAAGAATTAACCTAGAAGGTAACACACATGCACAGGAAATCATTGCGAGTCAACTCCCTG